AATGCAGAGGCTCAGGTGAACCCCGACCTGCGGAATCCGAGCCTGCATCTGAACCTGGTCCGTGGGGTACCCCCCACCTCCCAGTTGAAGACCAAGCAAGAGTGTCCAGAGCTGGTGAATTGGGAACCATCCCTTCCCTGCCACCCCGCCTTGGATCCTGTGGGTGTCATGTGAGCAGCCGTGTCCCAGGAGTGGGAGATTTGAGGGGGAATAATAAAGGGGTACTTACCTCACAGCGCCCCATCAGTACATGGAGTTCAAATTATGTCATCACCTGTAAGGTCAAAAACAAGACAAAACAAAGAATTGGTGGGCGTGCTTGTCAGCCAGTGGAGAAATCTTACGTTTCAAACCTGCACCCATTTCTTAGGGTTGCTGTTTTAGCAAAGAATTGGGTGACCCTGCAAACCCAGCTTCTTTCCTGAAGCCAAGGCGCTGGTGGGCGGGGCCGCTCCAGCCTGGGCGCTGGGCGCATGCGCGCGGCCTGGTCCAGCACGGTGGTACCCGCGGTCCTTGGCTCGCTGCCCCAGCGCTCACCACTCTGTCCTGGGTGGCACGTGGCCTCTCCTGGGGGTGTGCTTCTTCACAGGGTGTTTCTTTCCTTTGGAAAAAAACAGTCGTGTTGGATTAAGCTCTCCTCCCGACCCTCCAACCCTAGTGTGACCTCACATGAAAAGATATCATTTCTAAATAAGGTCACGCTCTGCCAGCCTCGGGGATGCGGAGGTGAGAATACAGGAGAGAGGGATGTGGGGGAGAGGGCAGAGCAGCCTGAAAGTCTTGCAGGATGTCTTTCCAGCCGGACTCTATGACACCCTCGCCACCCCCTTTTCAATCCCGTGGCCCTGGCACAAGCCCCAAGCGACCCTGACGCAGACACAGCCTCACTTGCCACCCAGCGCCATGGGCTCCAGGATCCTGGCGGAGGGCCCACCTTGCCAGCCCGCACTGCCCCCCAGCTGGGGAGGCCCCAAGGGTGCAGGGGCACCGCCTCGTGGGGAATCATTAGAGCACAGCGACAGCGACAAGGTCCCTTAACCACATCACGACGCACACTTTTATTGTTCTGAGGTCCCTACACCAACCTCAGGAGTTTCAAGCTAGAGGCTGTTCACTCACTCATCAAATATTTTTTTCTTTTTCTTGGCCTCGCCGTGTCACATGTGGGATGTATTTCCCTGACCAAAGATGGAACCCATGACCCTGCATTGGGATTGCACAGTTTTAACCAGTGAACCGCCAGGGAATTCCCACACTCATCTAATATTTGATGCCGAGTTGGTACAAAGCCTTGTATTCAGCGCTGCGGGATTTGAGGGTTTTGCTATTAAAAACAAACATCAAATTAAATAAATTTGGGAAATTAATCCAAGCTTGCAAATAATTTTTTTAAATCTTGCCAATTATATTAAAAAATTACCATCATAAAAGCAAGGACTTCAATTACTTTATTTTTATTTAAAATTTGCATTTCTTTGAACAGGTGATAGGAAAAAGTACTAAGGATGATCATGAAAAATAAATGTACCTCCCACAGGGGCAAACACTATTTCTTGAAAAAAGCCATTTCAACAGCAAAGAGGTAGGAAGAAAATAATCTTAGAGAAAAAGAGATTTTTCAAAAAAAGAAACAGTTGGAAAAAATATATGGATGAATAAAAATATAAGTGGATGAATAAAAAGGAAAAATATATTTTCAATATATATTTATTTTTACAATATATTTGTGAATTATTATTTTTACAATATACTTGTATATATACAAAATATATATTTCAATACATGTTTTTACAATATGTATATGTATACATATATATTTTTTCCTTTTTTCTTCATCCATTTTTTTTTACAAATATTTTTTACACTCCTCTTATGAATGAGGCATTGTTTTAGATGCAGGAGATACACCAGTGATCAAAACAGTTAAAATAGCATTCCCTGCCCTCTTGGGCTTTATGTTCTGGTGAAAACTGAATCTGAAATTGAGACACAGGAGTCCAGGTAGATGAGGCTATAGGAAGAGTGAGCCTCTGTGGCCAAGAGCCACCTGGTGTCCTGCGGGCACACGTGACACGTGGAGGGTGTGAGTTTAGAAGCAACCCACCTGCCTTGCCCAGGACTGGTCAGAGCCAGGCCAGGCGGGCCAGCTGAGGGTCTTCATGTGTGGTGCTGAACAGACTCGAGAAACAGTGTCTGACAATAGAATTGGTCCAGGTGTGAGTGAAGATGCAGGAGATGGGTGTCGAGGTGGAGGTTGGAGTGATATTATGGGGCCGAGAAGAGAGTGATGTTTAATGTTTTGATGGGGTTTCTGCTCATGCAAAGAAACCAGCTAAATCTGTCTGCCATTTGCATGCTTCCTTCTTCCTTCTTCAAGCATCTGGGTGGGGCTCTAACCTAGGGAGCACAGTTCAACAACTGTGATGATTACCAGGCTCTGCCTGTGATTCTCCCATGAGATCTGGTGAGAAGCATGCACCTCACTCTCCATGTTTTAAAAAAATTAATAGACTTTAAAAAATTAATTTACTTTAATTGGAGGCTAATTACTTTACAATATTGTAGTGGTTTTTGCCATACCTTGACATGAATCAGCCATGGGTGTACATGTGTTCCCCATCCTGAACCCCCCTCCCACCTCCCTCCCCACCCCATCCCTCAGGGTCATCCCAGTGCACCAGCCCTGAGCACTCGTCTCATGCATCAAACCTGGACTGGTGATCTATTTCACATATGATAATATACATGTTTCAATGCTATTCTCTCAAATCATCCCATCCTCGCCTTCTCCCACAGAGATCAAAAGTCTGTTGTTCACATCTGTGTCTCTTTTGCTTTCTTGCATATAGGGTCATTGTTACCATCTTTCTAAATTCCATATATATACATTAATATACTGTATTGGTGTTTTTCTTTCTGACTTACTTCGCTCCGTATAATGGGCTCCAGTTTCATCCACCTCATTAGAACTGATTCAAATGCATTCTTTTTAATAGCTGAGTAGTATTCCATTGTGTGTATGTACCACAGCTTTCTCATCCATTCGTCTGCTGATGGACATCTAGGTTGCTTCCATGTCCTGGCTATTGTAAACAGTGCTGTGGTGAACACTGGGGTACACGTTTCTCTTTCAATTCTGGTTTCAATGGGATTGCTGGGTCGTATGGCAGTTCTATTTCCAGTTTTTTAAGGAAATAGACTTTTTTTTTAAAAATAGAAATTTTAGGTTTATAGAGAGGTTTCTATGTACTTCCTCAGCCATCCCCATATTCCCTTTTAGCATCTTGCCTTAGTGTGATAAGTTGTTACAACTGATGAATGCATGCTGATATATTTATCATTAACCAAAGTCAGTGTATTGGGGGCTTCCCTGGTGGCTCAGATAGTAAAGAGTCTGCCTGCAATGTGGGAGACACAGGTTCAATCCCTGGGTTGGGAAGATCCCCTGGAGAAGGGAATGGCAATCCACTTCAGTATTCTTGCCTGGAGAATTCCATGGACAGAGGAGTCTGGCAGGCATTTGTATTTATTTTAATTTCTGCCACACCGTACATCATTCAGGATCTTAGTTCCCTGACCAGGGATTGAACCTATGCCCCCTGCAGTGGGAGCATGGAGTCTTACCCGCTGGACTGCCAGGGAAGTCCTGGGAGAACTCATCTGTACATTGTCTCTAAGGTAGAAGGGTGGGCCGTGGAGCCAATCAGGGCAATTAGTCTTGTGACGGAACTAAAAGAGCCCACCTGCTGGGCAGGACACCATGTGGAAAACTCAATTAGGCCATAAGCAGGGACTCCCATAGTCATTATTTTTCAATGATTTGGATGCTAAATATGAAAGAATATCTCATTATATTATCTAGTAGCACATTCATATGATTCACTCTATTTACTTGGCAAATACCCAGTATTTGCTGCATGTTCATTTACATTGAATTGAATCAGGTGCACACTGAGTGAATATCTGCTACTTACTCCTAGATGACATTTCATAGCTAAAAAAAAAAAAAATGAAAGGCTGTTTTTTAGGATCATGAACCAAAAGAAGTACAGAAGAGAAAACAAATAGTTGAAAAATAAACATAAATGAGAAATGATTAAAATAAGTGGAAATCATAAAATGCCTAAGATTTGGTCGAATAAAAAGCAAAATGAGCAGAAATTTCCTCCCTAAAATGCACTGAATTTACAAATGCAGAAGTCAGATTAATTTTAGATTTTTGAAAACAAACTGAGCTCCTTAAACTTCTGTTTCTGGTATTAATGTCATTATCATAAAAGTCCTTGATGCACAGACATATCTTGTTCCTAGATGACAGCATTTAATATCATAACAATGTGGATTTCTCCCCAAATTAAACTGTACATTTAAAACAATAAAAAAAAATTAGAAGCCCCCCATAGAATTTTGGAGGTTTTGAGAGATGGTGCTAACACAGAAATGTAGTCACCTGTGACACGATAAAAATGTCAGAAACAAGTCAAATACGCACATAAAAATGTTTGTCTGAAGTCAAAGCAGTTAAATGGAATGAGAGAAAGAAGAACTGCTTAATAAATGACACTGAAACTAGAGATTTTCAAGTTGCCAAAAGTGTATTTTTTAAATGAAAAATCCCACTGTCGGTAACTGAGTACAGGAAACAGAATGCTCTCGTGGTCTGGTGGGAATACAAACTGGTACATTTCTGGAGGGAAATTATTTATATAAAAGCTTTAACAAAATCTATACTATCATCGAGCCAATGGGCATGAGTTTGCACAAACTCTCAGAGACAGTGAAGGACAAGGAAGCCTGGTGTGCTGCAGTCCATGGGGTCACAAATAGTCAGACACGACTGAGCAACTGAACAACAAGAATTTCTGCCTAAGGCCTCGTCCAGGACAGGCCTGGGGGCTGAGGTTCTGGGAGCAGTACTCACCTGTGAAGGAGGGGCCCTGGGCTGGGGCGTATCCTTCTGTTTCTCAGAGGGTCCCCGGTGGGCAACGAGCCTGGGGCACCTGCAGCAGCAACACCTCTGCTAACGCTGCCCATTGCAGGCATGGTGTCCTCTCCCCTCCGATTCTGCAGGTCTTCACTGTACCCCTGACATCCTCTTCCTTAAAACTCACTTGTACCCAAATCTCTTCTTTGTGGGGAATCCAAACTTGGAGAATAGTTTCCCAATTTTCTTCTTTTGTTTACATTCTCTGCAGAAAATAGATTGCACTTTATAACAAGTTATAAAGGAAGGCAAAGTTTTTTTGAAAAAAAGGAATTCACTGGGGATTTCCCTGGTGGTCCAGGGGTTAAGGACTTCACCTTCCGATGTAGGGGGTGTGGGTTCGATCCTGAGTTGGGAAGCTGAGATCCCACATACTTCGAGGTCAAAAAGCCAAAACACAACCAGAAGCAATGTTGCAACACATTCAATAAAGACTTGGTCCACATCAAAAAAAAAAAAAAAATCTTAAATCAAAAGGAGTTCACTGGACTTCTAGTCAAATGAGATAAATTGAAAACATGCATTTACCTCCTCCTCAAGGTCTCAGCAAATGGCATTAAAGAAATAAAATGGACAAGCACACAGGATAAAGAGGTGAGAAGTTGGCCACGTACAAGGAATGCCCACAGTACTCTGACTGAGCAGAGGGAAGGTCTGTGAGCAGGGAGCTAGTCACTGGGGAAGGGGAGCTGGAGGCCCGAGGCTGGCTCCCATCATCTCCCACTGATGCTGAGCCAGGGTGCCCATCTCCCTCCCTCTGAGCACAGGGACTGGAGATTGACAGGGATGCCAGTCACCACGGAGCAGGCGAGAAGCAGGGCTGAGAGCTCCAGGGAGGGGATTATCAGAAGGGGACGGGTGGGATGAAGGATGGTTATTTTTACCTTATGCCTTCTAATACTATTCATCGTTCTTTTTAATTAGTTTATTTATTTCTGGCTGTGCTGCGTCTTCATTGCTGCACGGGCTTTTCTCTAGTGGCAGCAAGTGGGGGCTACTGTAGCTGCGGTGGTCAGGTTTCTCATTGCAGTAGCTTCTCTTTTTGCGGAGGACAAGCCCTAGGCACGTGGGCTTCGGTAGCTGCGGCACATGAGCTCAGTAGTTGTGGCTGGCCGGTTCTAGAGCACAGACTCAGTAGCTGTGGTTCACGGGCCTAGTTGCTCTGCAGCATATGGAATCTTCCCGGACCAGGGATCAGGTCGGTGTCCCCTGAACTGGCAGGCAGGTTCTTATCCACTGGGCCACCAGGGAAGTCTGACTATTCATCTTTTAAAAAATCTATGTGCAAGCATCATTGTAATACTTAATAAAACGTTGAAGCCATGTTTTTGTTATTTAAATGCAGGAAAATCAGAACGTTTGGGCGCTAAGTACTATCAGATCATCAGATGGATTCACACACACTTGTCCATCGTAGATGTCGTCACAATAGCCACAAGGTGGAAACTGGCCAAATGCTCATCAGTGACTGAATGGACAAGCAAACTGTGGTTGATCCACTCGATGGAACAGTATTCAATCACAACCAGGAATGAAGTACCGATGCATATTACAACATGTGTGAACCTCAAAAAACATGCTTAATGAAAAAATCAGACACAGATGGCCACATATTCATATGATTCCATTTATGTGAAATGTCTAGAATAGGTAGATCCATGGACACATGACACAGATTAAATGGTCACCAGAGGATGGGTGGAGAGGTAAGGGAGAATAACAGATGAATAGGTATAGGGTATCCTTTGGGGATCGTACTGGCTTGTTCACACCCCATGTGACCGCCAGAGCCTAGCTTCATCATAAACACAGACTAGGCTGATTAAAGGGCTGATTAGCTCCCTTTCTTACTGTCTAAATCCACAATCCAAAACCACATTGGTTATGGACTGAATAGTGTAGCTCCCCTCCCAAATTCGTGTTGAAATCTTAAACCCCAGTGTTTTAAGATTGAGTGTGACCTCATTGGGAGATACAATCTTTACAGAAGCCATCCAGTTACAACGAGGTCATTAGGGCAGGCCTCAATCCATAAGTCTGGTGTCCTTGTGCAAGGAGGAAGTTTGGATTCGAAGACAAACACAAAGCAATGATGATGCAAAGAGATACAGGGATGACAAGGCCATCTACAAGCCAGGGGAGAGGCCCAGAACAATCTTCCCTCACAATCCTCAAAAGGGACCAGCCCTGCCGACACCTTGACCTTGGATTTTTAAGCCTCCAGAACTGTGAGATAATAAATTTCTGTCATTTAAGCCCCCTAGTTTATAATACTTTGTTATGGCAGCCCTAGCAAACTAATAAAACAATGTATATAATCCTTTTTACCTTAAAAGGCACATTAGTTGCATAAACATGTTACCTATCATGTAATGTCTGATTACATGGAATAAACTCGTGATCCTCTGAGATAGTAAGTTTCCAGTGGACAGGTCCCATGAACAGGTAGCTTTTTGGCCAAAGCCCCTGACAGAACCATCTCTGACCACAGTCCTTAGCAAAGGCTTTCATAATTCTGATTGCAAAGAGGATGCTGAATTTCAGTGCTTTAACATAAATCAGCACCAGCTTGAAAGCCGGGTATGACATGAGGTCTGGATATTTGTATTGGCCACTCCCAACACACACACAGGTGCATGAAAAGATACAGCCGAGGGCTCACTCTGTGGCCAGTTTTCACGTTCTTATGTGAATTTGATATAGCAGCTCCTGGGGACTGGAATGTGGCAATTTGAATGCAAAATCAATTGTCAAATGTAAGACTGCAACAGTCTTCTCCCTAGTGACCATCTCACCCTCCAGGTAGTTGTCTTCACTCTTGTTCGGGATGCTCTGTACCTTGTTGGCAATATTCAAATGATCAAAAATGATTTCAGGATCTCAAACAACCCCTCTTGACTGGCTTGCACCTCCCTTTTAATTTGTTCTCCCTTGCTTATTTTCACAAGGATGTCAATCCTGAACTTGTTTTATCTCTACTTCCACCGTCAGCATCACAATTGTAAGATCACTCTTATACACATTTGACACCTATTTCAATTTTAAACTGAATTCTGCGCTTAAGTAACATTAAAAACTGTATCTTTAACATCACATCAAGGAAGTCCTGCATTGCCTCTGATTTTTCATGCAATCTCTATGTACAAATGTTTCATTTTTGAGTAGCAGCTGGATGCGTAAATTATCCCAAAGCAGAAAATGTAAAAATAACATCCCTACAGATTAACTTTGCTTCTCTCAGGATGACTTGTACGCGTGCCACAGTGAAGCAGGTGGCACATTTCCATGAATCCAAAGCTTCAAGATGAACTTTCACCTAAGGGACACAGACAACCCGTCAAAAAATGTCTTCATTCGTCGGACATAAGGGACATATTAATTTCTTAGGGCAGCCATAACAGAGTGCTGCTGAGCGACTTGAAATAGCAGGAACTTATTCCTTCACAACTGTGGAGGCTCAACCCCTGAAGTCAGGGGTTCGACGGGGCTGTAACCCCTCTGAAGCCACAGGGGACTCATCTGGGCTGCCAGAGGCTTGGTGGCCATCTCTCGGGCTCCTGGGTTTGAGGCTGTCTCGTCACACAGCCTTCTCCCTGTGTCTTCACATGGCCACAGTCCTGCTTTAGTATGACTTCATGTTAATGCATCAGATCTGCAGCCATCCTATTTCCAGAAAAAGACAAATTCTGAGGGACTAGGGGCTAGAACTTCAGCATGTATGTTATGGGGGCAGGGATAGGGAGCACGATTCAACCCATTGAAAGGGGATAGGGTAGACTTCACATATGTAACTTTTGAGGGCAACTCATAAGGCAGCATTTTTGTTTGATGGAGATAAATTCTTATTTATAAGAAAGTGTATACTGCACACCGTTGTTTAGTCGTTAAGTCGTGTCTGACTCCTTGCAACCCCATGGACTGTAGCCCACCAGGCTCTGTCCATGGGATTCTCCAGGCAAGAATACTGAGTGGGTTGCCATTTCCTTCTCCAGCGGGTCTTTCTGACCCAGGGATCAAACCTGTGTCTCCTGCATTGCAGGTGGATTCTTTACCACCGAGTTACCAGGTTAGCCCATACTGCACACAGGCACAAAGAATTATAAAGCAAGTACCCCTGTAACCCCCCTTCAGGCCAAGAAACAACACTGCTACACCAGAGATGCCCCGCATACCCCTCCTTCATCAACACCCTGTCCAGGACTCATCTAGCACCCCACATTGCATCTAGTTGTCATGTTTGTGTCCTCCAATCTTTTTTTTTTTTTGTCTCCTCCAATCTTTGACTGTTCCTTATCTTTCACAGCCTTGAATTTTTTCTTTGGCTATGCCATATGGCATGTGGGATCTTTCCACAGCAGGGATCGAAACTGCACCCCCTGCAGCAGAAGTATGGAGCCTTATAAATCACTGGACCACAAGGGAAGTCCACAGCCTTGATAGTTTTGAAGCATACTGGCCACTTACTTTGTAAAATTTTCCTCAATTTGGGTTTGTCTGAGGTTTCCCCATGGCTAGGTTGAGGTTATACATTTTGGGCAAGAATTCTACAGCATTGTGCCATGTGGTCATGTCACTTTTCCATACTATAGAGAGGTCCAATCATTAGTTTTTATTTCAAGTTCCTGGTACATTATGCTTGATTTTGGTTATTTTCAGAGTATGTAAAATATTACTATAGTTTTGAGTCAAACAAAAATATATATTGAAAGGTGCTACTTGTCCCCAATACCCCATTCCTGTTCCTCCTTACTTTCTACTCTGAACTCAGCCATTCTCTGTATGTAACCAGTCTCTTTAGTTTCTAGTATTTCTTGTGTTTCTTCTGCACAGATGAGCAGGTACATATGTATTTTCTTCTACTGCCTTTCTTATTAAACGAAGGATGGCGAACTGTAGACATGTTTGCATGTTGCTTTTCTCACTGAACAATATATCCTGGGAATGACAACATCAGCACATAGAGCTCTTCCACACACGTTATACAGCTGTGGAGGACTGTATCGTGTGATGTTCCAGTTCACTGAAGCATTCTATGTGGAGACATTTAGGTCATTTTCAATTATCTTGCCATTACAGCCAATGCTGCAGTGAGCAACCTTGTGCCTAGGGCTTTTGCAGTGCTGGGAAGTATCATCGGGTCTCTTCCGAGAAGTGGGAAGGCCAGGTCAACAGCTAAGTGTATCCTTGTTCCATAGGGATTGTGAGTTCCGCTACATAGAGGGAACATTAAGTCTGCACTTTCACCAGGAACAGAAGACATTTCACCGACAGAATGTGTTGTCATACTTGTATGTTAAACTTCTTCCAATCTCATAGGAGAGAAATGGTATGTGTTAATTTCCATTTCTCTGTTTGAAGTTTATTTTTTGGCAGCACTGTGCAGCATGTGGTTCCTTAGTTCTCTGGCCAGGGGTTAAGTCTGTGTCCCCTGCAGCAGAAGCGTGGTCTTTTTTCACTTTGGCTACAACACTTCAACACCACTGGTCTTCACTGAGGCATGTGGGATGTATACTTCCCTGACCAGGGATCAAACTCGGGCCCCTTGTGTTGGGAGCAGAGAGTCTTAACCACCAATCACCAAGGAAGTTACGTTTTGTTTGAATTTTGAAATACATTTTAGGGACACTTCTGTTTATCTTTTTTTGGTGAGCTTTTTTCCTAGCAGGTTTTTGCCTATTGTCTTTCAGTTTTTAAGAGCTGACCTGATGATTTTCCAAAGCTAATGAACACTAAGTATATACACTGGCACCTTGAAGTTTCTTATCCTGACTCCAACCAAGTGAGCCCTATTGTCTAGTATATACCAACACGACACGAGAAACTCTACTTCTGGGGTTGAACACCAAAGCACATGTGAACTTTCTAAGAAACACAGGGAGGTATAGTTCAATTACATATCATGGAAGAGGGTAATTTTTTCCATTATTATGGTCTCCTTTCTGCATTATTTTTTAGCTCGCAGTCAAACCCTGTGAGCTAACCTAGTACTGTGCTGCCAAACTAGTACTGTGCTTAGATGAGGTTTCACTAGCTATAAGAGAATAAATGTTTGTTTTCCAAAGCCAAACAGAATTTTTGGAGTGATTAAGACATTTTAGTATCATATACATTCCTACTCTATTAGAAGAAAATTAGACTATTTTCCTGCAAATAGGCTACTTTTAAAAAGTATATATATGTATATACACACATATGTATAAGCAAATTATTCTGCTGCACACCTGAAACTAAAACAATATTCTAAATCAACTATATGTCAATAAAAAATTACTAAGTGTATGAAGATGTAGTTTTGCTTTCACATATTGTCTGAATTGTATATCTAAGTATATGCTACTCTTTCAAAAATTTGGTCTTAATTCAGTTTTGTTAAATCCAGAAGACAAATTATAATGCTGTCTTCATGAAGATTACCACTTTCTGATGTTACATGTTGAGACATTAAAAGTTGTATTTTTTTTAGTGATTGATTTTCTAGCTCTTAAAACCTGTCCATGGATGCTACAAAAACTGATCAAAGACCATTTAAAGACTCAAAGTTTTAAAAGGTTCGGTTCTAGGCATCACCATTACATTATTCGTGAAACAGGAGAGCAGAAACCAGAGAGTAATGCTGCTTTGTCGACTGAAGTAAAGGATTCACCACACGTTTCTTAATGGCAGGTGAGGTGTGCAGAGAAAGTGGTGTTAACTACAGAGAAGCCCCTACATGCCCCTCCTGCCCAAGTCCCGAGGCAGGGAAGGCTGTGTATAGGGGTGGCATTTGAGGGCTCCAGCTCTTCTTAGGGCTTTCCTGGTGGCTCAGGTGGTAAAGAACTTGCATGTAATCCAGCCGACTCGGGGTAGATCCCTGGGTCAGGAAGATCCCCTGGAGAAGGGACTGGCAATCCACTCCAGTATTCTTGCCTGGAAAATCCCATGAACAGAGGAGTCTGGTGGGCTTGTCCATAGGGTCTCCCAAAGTCGGATGTGACTAAAGACACATGCATGCTTTTCTTAGGTTATTAAGATACATGTGCTTTGTTTTTTTTTTTTTTACCATTACTTTCTGTTTTTATACTTGACTTATAGAAGAATTAGAGCAGACAGCATGGAAAAGGAATATGTTAAGCTTCTGGAAAAATTAATGGCAGCTGAAGAACCATCCTCTTCCTGGTTGAGTGGAATAAGTCTTCGTTGTCTCAACTTGTCCTGCTCACCACTGATGAGTGAATGGGAAGATTGGGAATTTGGTAAGACCACTTCCAGGGAAAAACAAGTATAGTAAAAATACTCAGGAACCTCAATTTCCCCTCACCTTTCTCTCTGCCCACAAGGAGCTTGTGAAAACTAAAGACAGCGTTAGGTGACTTCTCCCAAGAGCAATGTCAAAGCTTTGACAGAGCATTGCTGAATCTTCAGGGAAGACGGGCAGAAAGCTGAAGTCAGTGAGTAGATTGAAAGAAGTTGGTTTCATTCTTAAAAATACTTGCTTATATTTATCATCAATAACAAAGAATTTTAATACTGTTGAAAAGATTATCACATTCTAGCAAAATTTTTAAAAAGGGTAGTGTTAAAACATTCTGACCCTTTTAAAAAATATGCTTAAATACACGCCAAAGCTGTTGATGGACTAAAAAAATTAACTTCTTAAAAAAGGATGTGGTCATAATAAAAAAAAAAAAAGAACATTTTTATACATAGGATTTTATTTTGCACTGCTATAACAATTTCATTATAGACCAAGGGAGATAAAAGAAAACGGGTAAAACCACCACACTGAGTAAATTACTAAAGCTTTTCTACTTTTAACAGGATTTTCCATCTGGTAGATTTATTGTCATATCCCCTTCAAAACAGACAAGATGCTTACCATATTTTAAAGATTATAGGTTGCCACTGAAAGAAAAATTTTACACAGTCACTGTACATCAACGTTGAAAAACTGTCCTGCATGAAAAATATACTTAGAAATCATGTGAATAAAAGGAAAACATTATTGTTGAAAGAAAGATTAAAGTCCTCGCAATGTGCCATCTACACGTGGACACTCGATCCTCCTAGAGTTGCTCAGGTAGAGGGAGTCCTTCCTTCTGCCCAGTTCACTCATCATACTGTGTTTTCACCCAATGGGATACATTAAGGCAAACAAATCCTTCTCTGAAGAGGTCTTAAAGAAACTGTGGACAAATAGCAAACTTTTGGCATTAAAACAGGTTAACACATACACAGCCTTTAGTAATAATGTACATTTAAGCATATTTCTCTTGGACTAGTGACAAGGAAAAATGAACATGCTTGTTAACAATGTCAAAAAGTTTTAAAATTCAGTGTCCAAGCAATTCCTAATAATGCTTCTGTAGCTTTAAGCTCTAAACAGTATAGAATTTATGCAAATGCATTAAAGAATTCAAGCTTGGCAAATTACACCCAAGCAGGTTATTAAACTATATATACAGAAAGTAAATGATAAATACAGAATTAAAAGAGTCCTTCTGTTTTCCTTAGAGCCTTGAAAATTGACAAACTTTTGAGGACAGTTCTATAGTATTAAACATTAGGTAACCACGCATGTGGGGAAACCTAACTCTACAAACTGATTTAAAATACTCAGGATGACTCTGTAGTGTTTCATACAATTCAGTTCGTAGGTAGGGGCACGAGACAACATTTAACAAAAATAATCACATCAATTGACCTAGAAATCAAATGCAAATAGATATGAATACAATCTCCAAAATCTGTCTTTTTAAGTGAACATTAACCATTTATTCAAAGTTATACAAGAATTTGAAGGATTAAAGTCTTCTGTGACATAAAGCCATTTCAAACAGTTTCATGTCTCAGCTGAGCGGGAGGAGAGGGTGAAAGGATAGGTGAGCAGCCCCTTTCGGGCAGGAGACCGTACAAACAGACTCAACAGCAGCCTCCCCCGGCCTGCTGTCCCCCCTGACTGCCTGCGTGTGTGGCATTGGTAGCAGCATGCTGAGGGCCAATTTTAATGCCATTTGCCTGCAATAAAAGAGAAAAGGATAATATAAAGGTCGAGTTTAAGAAATCCTTTTGTTTCTTAATAGTACGATATTCCGAACAAATAAAATATATTTTTAAAATATCTATTAAGCAAATTTTTGGCAACAATTAAGACAGTATCTCTCAGGGAATGTTTCTTTCTTTTAAAGTAATACTGCGGAAATATTCCTGAAGACAATTCCTTATCATGGCCAGGTACGAGGTTAACAGAAACTGGAGAGCTGCTTTTAAAGGAATTCTCACAATGGAGAGACTGTTTAAAACGAAAGCGTTAAAGGAGGAAAATGTGCAAATCTTAGGCCACTCTCACACAACGGACAACCTTTCCTCTAGACAGCGTTTCTGCTCCATGTTGAATCAGCTGTACAGGCTAAGGGCATATGAGTGTTCTGTGTCATCAATAATTTCTATGATCCCCAAAGACATGGCAGCTTGCCAGGAACCCACACACAGAGTGGTTCTTTCATTCATCAAACTCACACTTATGTCTTAACCCTCACTCCCTCAAGTGGATTTTACCTAAAAATACAACGCACGGAGAAAAGTAATACAGTAGCTTCAGAAATTAAGCTCTTAAGGAAACTTGACGTCACAGTAAATCTCAGATTTATAGTGCTTGGCAGTTGTTCTGCAACAGTAGTAGCCTTGGGGTTTCTGGCACTGGCTCAGTATTGACAGCAGCTGATGTGGTTTCTTTTCGCTCTTTTGACTCCTCTTTAATAAAAAGCATGCCCTATGGCTCATTGGTTTTGCCCCCTCTGGGCTGGTAGCAACTTCTTGAGGAATCAAGGAGTCAGACTTGGCAGTAGGCCAAATAAATCGCACGGCCTGTTGGCTCCTGACAGCACGTTACAATCAAAGCCGCACCAGGCACAGTAAAGCAGTCAGCTACTATATGAAACCAGACAGACACAATGAACGCGCCCTTGTTCACAGAGGCCCAATTACTGTTCCATTGATACAGCATTAGTCTCTGAATGGTGTCGCCGCGAAATTAACTCAAGATCTACTGCCATAGAAACTTTATCACTACAGATTAAACTTTATCACTACAGACTACAAGAAATCGAAAAATCAAGTACTTTTTGGAAACCTTGGGTGAACTGTTGCTTGTTTTAGCAAAGAATACTGAAGCAAATAAAAAGAGCCTCTTGTGTCCTGGCCAAGAGAGAGACACACACATAATGTCCTCCCAACACAGGGCCTTCCTTACTGCACCTCGGGGAGGTAGAAGGGCTTTTCTCTCGGAAGAAAGAAATCCTAACATGGACTGGCAAAAACATTTATGTAAAAGTAAATAATATACCCTGTTCACATAAAAATTCTAAAATAAATAAGGATAAATGCATGGTGGGGATTTAGGTCAAAATGATGGACTTTGGTAAACACTGAATTATCTGCTTCAAATTTTTTATATTTTATCCTAATCACATTGATCAAATCTGGCTCAGAATAATTTTAGAAAAAGAGAGAAAAGAAAAGCTACCCACAAAAATGAAACAACCAGCGCCAACTGCCAATTACATGTATTAACTCAGTCTCCTGAAAACACGCTATGCTGAACTGGGAGTAATTTCCAAATTGGGCATTTCCCTCTTCGGCACCAGACAACAGAGAGAGCATCCTGCACTAGGGAACACTGCACATGCACATTTACACACTAGGAAATTATTCCCCCAAGCAGACGACACCATATGGATGTGTGGATGAAAGTGTATTTTCTTCTCTTTGGAGGATTTCTATTATTTTGCACTGCTTGCAATAAATGGATAGGGTCACTTAATCTGTTTTCATAGATAAACTGATGCATTACAAAACATAAAGATTCAGCTATTAAACAACATATAACAAATTTTTAATTACATGATTATAAACTAATGTTTAATTGACAGCACAGATCCACTTTAGGAATTTTTAAAAATATAAATTCTTGACTCCAAGTAATTAAAATTCAATTCTAGATTAATTATTAGCCAATTGTATGTTTATACCTCATTATTAATGTCAAAGACTCCTTCTTGGATTTTTTCATAAATTTCTTTTGCTGTATTAATAAATGCCTGAAATATAAGATAGAGAAGTTAATTTAAATTATTTAAAACCACACAGTAAAAGAACATTATATAAAAAGGTCTAGAAAATATCACAAAGTTCAACATAAGAAAATCAACCAATGTAACACATCATATTAATAAAGGACAAAAATCATATGGTTGTTTTAATAGATGCAGAAAAAGCATTTGAGAAAATCCAACACCTTTTCACAATAAAAGCATTCAACAAACTGGATATTGAAGGGGACTTCCTCAACCTGATAAGCCACATCTCAGAAAACGCAGAGCCAATATCAGACCCAGTGGTGAAGTGGCTCAACAAGACGAGGATTTGTGGGAACTAAGACAATCAGTCATAAAGTGGGAACAACACATCTGTTCACCAGCTGGTGAATGAAAACCAAAGTGTGGTGCAACTCATACAATGGAATAATATTCAGCCCTAAAAATATAACGCACTGATTCATGAGACAAGCTCGATGAACTTTGTGAAGTAAAGTAATACAGATATGAAAGGTCACATAGTACGATTCCATTTACGTGAAATATGCAGAAGAGGTCAATCCACAAAAGGAAAATAATTATCGGCTGCCAGGGATTACAGGAAGGGAGGAATGGAGTGATGAAAATATTCTGGAAGACAGTGGAGATGGTCACATGACTCTGAACATACTAAAATCCACTGAATTGTACCCTTTAAAAAAGGGTGAATTTTATGATATGTGAATTATATTTCAAAAGAAAAAAAATCATGGCTGGGCAAAGGGGAGACCAAAACATAAGAACAGCATACATGGAAAAACACATCAGCTAGATAAGCTGCACAGACACCCATGATGTAACCAGCTTATTCTTGGAGGTCACTGTTTCACACAAGATCCTGTCTGCCAGACAACGTGTTACTTAACATACAGTTCAGGGGGGAAAGGGTCAAAGGGTGCTTATTATAAAGAGATAAAGGCAGTTCAACTTCTGTGTCATGTTGAATCAAGTTTCACCCTTTTCCCACGTAGCATACTACTAACTGACAAAAAATTAGTGATAGAACATTGTAACCAAATGAAGTCTCTAAATATCAAAATTAATCCAGAAACAGCCTATATTTATGTTAAGATAATAAGATATTTTACACATTATTGCCAACGCTACAGAAGATGTATACAAACTCTGCTTTTAAACCACCAGGTTTGAGAGATAATAGTGTTAATATTATATTCAATTAGCATTTTATGAAAATTCGTAAAAGAAGGTTGTTCTCCACTACTCCTAATATAGACAATTCAAAATTTAAAAAGTAAACAGGTCCATGGAGCAGAACACATCATACCTTCTGTCTTTTCTACACTAGAAACAACTGACTGCTGAACTTGCCACCAGAGCTTTTGTTTCCTAATTAACAGGACTGATATGTTTTCACCTTTAAAGGCCTTACAGCTCCCCAGAGTAATCAATCTCCTGCAGCTCAATTACTGCACCAAGAACACCCCAGTCGGTGCCGGGACGTGCGCGGCAGTGGCGGGGGCACAGAGGTATGAATATGCATCAGCTCTAAGTGGCTGATCGAATCATCAGAGAGGGTCATGAGAACTTGCAGCAAAATAATGAGAAGAATTAATCACTGCAGATTCACTAGGCACTCAGGAAGCCAATGTGCTTTTCATGTATGCGCGCTGGAGTTAAAGTGAAGGAGAAATTGGCTTTCAGCCAACTATGAATTGATTCACATTCCTCAAAATGGAGGTTATCCTTATAAGTAAGGGAAAACCTAACTCTATTTCCAATAACATGTCAATTACAGTGATGGCTGGGCTAACTAAACACTGAAGTCAACAGATTCATAAATTCACAGGGTTGGAATCCTTTTCAGGGGCACCCATACTGTGTACGTTTCGCTAGAACATCAGACAGAACTACAAGGTCGCATAAATGAACTATAACTTCATATAAACAAGCATTTTTATTATGATCATTACACGAGCCGATGGATGTAAATAAATTGACTTTTTTGCCAATCTGTGGATGAATTAATTTAAAAACTGGCTTAAGAAAGCTACATTTTTATTTATGCTACATTTTCTAAATCACTCCTAATTTTATCACTTAAACAGTACTTAAAGCTTTGTTAAGCAAGCACCTTCAAGAACAGTTGTACCCAATGGATGTAGGATGTATTTTATATCTGAAAGATATGCAATTAACTCAATTATAATTAAATATAAGTTATCTTTTATAATTCCCATCATCTCAATGAAATACTATTTGGACAATACTACATTTACTTGTCATCCAACTCTGATTACATGTTAAAGACACTGAAATAAAAATATTTTCCACTTCTTTCAGCACATTATAGAGAGGATACTGTATAAATATTGTTTCATTTATATCATAGTAACGATTAATAGTTAATATATATTACTAAGTGATTAATGATCAATTTTAATGATATCTTAAGAGTTTAAAATCAATGGAACAGATGTAAGTAACAGTATACCTCTTTAATGCACTAAAATTGAGTTCCCAAATATAATGACACATTAACCAAATACTGTTAAGGTTTAGTAGAGATAAAATAAAACTTCTAAGAGAAGAGCCTTGCCTGTCACAGATAATAAGCTGCAAAGCATTTCAAAACTCAGACAAGAGATACATATCTGTTATAATAATTGACTAGAATTTTCTTTCATTGCCCATTTCACTCCAGTCACTAAAAATCAGTCTCCATATATATTTTCCTTTTTTACTGGAGGATAATTGCTTTACTCTGTTTCTGCTGCGCAGCAGCGTGAATCAGTTGTACACACATATCTTCTCCCTCTGGAAACTCTCTCCATCCCCCATCCCACCCCTTCACATATATTTTTTAAGGAACAGATGTAATATTCTGAAATACCTATAGAACACAGAAAAAAAAATCAAAGTAATTAACATTAAATTAATAATATTACAAAGCCTTTACACCAGGCTCATGTTTTGCCTTTTATTTTTTTTTTTCGATTGCACTGCATAGCATGCATGATCTTAGTTTCCTGACCAGAGACTCAACCCGGGGCCCCGGCAGTGAGCGCGCCAAGTCCTAACTACTGGTCCACCAGGGAATTCCTTAAAGCTTAGGCTTTAATAGGACAGTCTTAAATTGAAATTCCTTCCAATTTTAGACATCATTTTAACTAGTTTTACTTTTTCTATTCCCCAGGCTACCGACGCAAATTATGAAAGGAGGGGAAAGAAGACGGGAAAGCAAGCAAGTGAAAAGGGCGTGTCTTGAGTGGCCGGTGGGGATGGGTATGCGCAGCATCGGGATCCAAGCCACTCTTCAGATTGGCGGCCGAGCCGCGCCAGTGCAGACCGGGCTCACAGCTCCTGATGGAGGCTTACAGCTCCTGATGGAAGAGGGCACATGTTGACCAAGATGGCCCAAGTCAAGAGGGAGAAAGAGGCTCAGGATTTGCTGTTTAATGTAAATAAAACACATTTTTGAAATGCCTTCATCATTCTTACAGATTTCAATGTTTACCAGGCAAAGACTGTGTAACAATTAACTTATCTGGAATAGTTATTTCCTTAGTCTCAGAAAAGTGAAGCAAGATGATGGCAGAACTCCAGAAAATTTTCAGCACTGGTTAATTAACATAATACTTTGAAAACATGACATCCTACAGATCCCTGCAGCTTTCTGCGACACATTAAGTCAGAACCACAAATGTTACATTCATCTCTATGCATGTTTCAAATAGTCAAATCTGAATAAATAGGTTATAGGACAGGAAAAAAAAAAAACCCTGCTGAGTAGCTGATGTGAAAGGATTTCATTAGGCCTGTGAGACAATCCAGGCACATCCATGGTTGAGAAGTATAAACAGATTTCCTTGTAGCCAACCTACCCTGGCAAGGCCTGACCTCCCATGCAGCACCCACGCCGGCACCTGAAGCCCAACTCTGTCCATTTCCCATTAGCTCCCCGCTCTGCTCTCCTCTGATTAATTGCCATGTCCAGTTCCTTACCTTTATTAGCCATTAACTGCCTTCCACTTCAGACACTAATCTTTCAACCCCTAGCAGTAGTTACCTGAGTGATGCTTGATAATACCTTGCCTTACTGAGGTTAAGTTTTCATGGACTTCTGTAGCACAAATTAAAATATACATAACCACGAAGAAATAGTGTATATCCCACCTACCACCTGGGCTAGTATCCAAGGGCACCTACTCCATTGTTGACTGAGCTGGTACTTCTTGGGGTATGGATGAAAGGTTTGTGGACAGGACAATGTAGATAGATCCTACTGCTGCTGAAATGAACCAGTTTAATCAAAAGGATCTCAGCACGAGTGCTGACATTTCAGCTGCAGATGCAGGAAATGTAAACCCTCTGCCCTGACTGACAGAGGGAGGATGTGTGCAGGCCAAGACAGGGGCAGGGCCGACTGTGGACAGTGAGCCCAGAGTGCCTTCTCAGCCAACAAGAGGGAGCACAATGGGGAACATGAAATCATGGTTTGTTTTTATTAAGGGTTTTACAGTTTTTAAGGCAAAATATTGAAAATAAATTGTCTAGAACAGAGTAACATTTAAATTACTTGTGTAACATGCTGCCACCTGGTGGCTAGATAGAAGTTACAGCATTTGTTAGGTGAGAATTAAAAAGAAACAGAAGTATCTCAGTTTTACTTAGACATCTAGAATAGATGTTAAAGAGCAAAGTGCCCTGTAGAATAAGTGACTCTTCGGTTCTCCCTGAAAACTGGGAAAGAGAGCTAGAATGTTGCTGAATTCTCTTTTCCATTGCTTAATCAATGCCATGGACAATACTGGTGTTCACTTGCCAAAGCCTCTATTAACCCATATTTACCAAGTATTTACTGTATGGGTTGGTCACTATGCTAAGTGATTTACATTGGTTTCATTATTTCTGAAAAGTTGTTCAAAATATGTGTAAAAATGAGGAAGTTACTTTTGTGAGTTGAAGCTGTACCTGTAAGCTTGTTAGCAGAAAAGAAGGGGGGG